TAGCCACCGAAATGGTAGAAGCAAGCAACAGAGATTTGACAGTGATTGAGCAAAATAATGTCTTAAACAATGAAAAATACTTCTCTGACTACTACATGTCAGATGAGGAATGAGAAATCAAACACCTTTATCTTTCATATATGTTTGTATGTTGTCTCATATCTTCGTTACTGGAGTGTAAGACAATTTTGTTGTTCATCTAACGTACGGATGTATTTCAAGTATTTGTTTTATGAACCTGAAGTTTATGAAATAACTACATTTATAACTGCACATTTATTAGTTCATAACTTTCTTTATTGAATTGCAATGAGTTAATGAATGTTCTGGATTAATGAATGGATTAATGTATGTTGAATTATGTGAATACTTAAAACACATAAAACAGAACATGTAGCTGGTGAAAAGCTTCCCTTAACTGGGGCTCGTGAAATAGGGATCCTGTACGTAAAGAATGTCAATCTCCATCAGGAAAAAAGAAAGAGTCGCCTTCCAATTCCTGGAAGTCCAGTCAAAATGATGACTCTGGTAAGGAATAAGGGGTTGACAGATAACTAAACTTGGGGGGCTGGACAAACAAGCTCAAAGCCAAGTGGTTGGTCCAATTAGGGGACTACTAAAGTTTATACAAACGAACTACCGCCTTCAACAACACATAAAACAAAACAGGTAGCTCGGTGAAAAGCTTTCCTTAACTGGGGCTCGTGAAATAGGGATCCTGTACGTAAAGAATTTCAATCTCCATCAGAAAAGAAGAAAGAGTCGTCTTCCAATTCCTGGAAGTCCGGTCAAAATGATGACTCTGGTAAGGAATGGGGGGTTGATAGATAACTAAACTCGGTGAAATGAACTACCGCCTTCAATAACACATAAAATAAAACAGGTAGCTCGGTGAAAAGCTTCCTTTAACTGGGCCTCGTCAAATAGGGATCCTCTACATAAAGAATTTCAATCTCCATCAGGAAAGAATAAAGAGTCACCTTCAAATTCTTGGAAGTCCAATAAAAATGATGACTCTGGTAAGGAATGATGTGGGATTCTCAATTCATAAAGTCATATGGCAACAGTGAATTCACCAATTTACCTTACAGTGAGCATGCCCTTATTTTCTCGGTATATGCAGATGGATTGTCAAGTCATGTGACTTGGTGCACAGGCTTTGGTTTTCTCGATTTTTTGCTCATTTTTTAATTACAGTGACAACTCATCTCTTATTGATATATCTGGGATTCTCAATTCATAAAGTCACATGGCAACAGTGAATTCACTGATTTACCTTACAGTGAGCATGCCTTTATTTTGTCGGTATATGCAGATGGATTGTCAAGTCATGCGACTTGGTGCACAGGCTTTGGTTTTATCGATTTTTTGCTCGATTTTTTTATTACAGTGATCTCAATTCAGAAAGTCACATGCCAACAGTGAATTAACTTATTTACCTTACAGTGAGCATGCCCTTACTTTGTCGGTATATACAGATGGATTGTCAAGTCACGTGACTTGGTACACAGTATTTCCTTTTCTCTGTTTTTTCATTCTACTGACAACTCATACCTTATTCGTATATGTGGGATTGTCATGCAGGGGCATCTTTCTAAAGCTGTTCATAACCAACTATATAAACAACTAAAGGTGAAGACACAACCTTACAACTCATTTCGCCCTACGAAATTATCATTCATTTGTTTTAAAAAATTGGCATGGCTACATGGTTCATGGGAGGGAGTGGACATCGCAAAGGTGGTAGGAACTTGCAAAGGGATGACAGTTCACGACGAGAAGAGGGAAGGGGACGTGGCGATACTGAAAACGATTCATGGGAGGGAGTGAGAATACCTATTTTAGTTATGCTTGTGGTTATCGTGATAGGTTTGGGAAGCGATCATTTTTGATGCCCAAGTATTATCCAGTTCAAGGAGGTTCATGTATGGATCCATCAGATAATCAAACAGGATATGGTTTAGCAGACGCTAGACTTCTAAAGTGGCCCGCATTATTTATAGAGCGAGTGCAAATGGAAAGATTATGTCGGGAAAATCGACTGAAGATGCCAAAAGCACGTTCTGTTGAGATCCAAAAGGAAGATCCTGATAATGTTGATTGACTATGTGAAAGACTATAACGTGAGATTTCTCAAATGCGCCGTAGAAATGCGCCGTAGGTTAGTCCACATATGCAGTTATAAATAGTTAAGAAGGATGCCCAAAAGAACAGAACATAACCAAATGTTGCGGTTATCAAAGGTATCATGGAGGATCTTGAGCTTGTCTCTGACGCTGAGCTTTCGGATTATTCAGACTCTGAGCCACCTACCGATTTAAGCGCGAATTAGGTGTTAATGCCTACACTTCGGCAATATTAGGTCATGCATTAATATGTAATGTCTGTGTTAGACTAAGTGCTTCCGTAATGAGTTTGTCAGATTGTTTGGCTAATATTTGTCTGTCTAATGTTATGTTTATGTATGTATTGTGTGTTCAATTCATAGTGTCCAGAATGTCTTGTTGTCGGAGACTTATTTTTGTACTACCTATGTATTTTTGTGGGAGACTTATGTGTTTTTTCCTCAAGGTTTTCTGAATTACATTATCACCTTCTAACCCAAAACAAAGACAACAGAAAAAAAAAATTATTTAAATGAAAACGGCTTTAGTAAAGCCAAAACAAATTTCTGAATAACACCTTCTAACCCAAAACAAAGACAAAAGAAAAAATATATATATTTAAATGAAAATGGCTTTATTAAAGCCCAAACAAATTACTGAATAACACCTTCTAACCCAAAACAAAGAGAAAATAAAATATAAAAAAAATTTCATCAAAACGGCTTTACTAAAGCTCAAAAAAATTATGAATTACATTATCACCTTCTAACCCAAAACAAACACAAGAAAAAACAAAATAAATTTACTTTAGTAAAGCCAAAAAAAATTCGGAATTACACCTTCTAACCCAAAATAAAGACAAAAGAAAAGAAAATAAAAATTAACATGAGAACCGTTTTAGTAAAACAATTTTAACCCAAAAAATTATTCTGAAATACATTATCACCAAAATAATGACAATAGAAACAAAAAAAAAAAACCAAAAAAAAAAAATTTCTTCTTCAGAGTTCAATTAAACTAAAACTAAATAATTTGTGTATTTATGTAAAAAGCGTGGTTCACAAACACGCTTTCACAAGAAAAAAAAAATTGTCAAAAAACGTGGTTCATAACCACGTTTTCAAAAGAAAAAAAATTTAAGCTAAAAGCGTGGTTCATAACCACGATTTCAGAAGAAAATTTTTTTTGGTTAAAAGTGTGGTTCACAACTGCGCTTTCAGAAGAAAAAAAATTTAAGTTAAAAGCGTGGTTCAGAACAGCGATTTCAGAAGGAAAAAAAAATTAATTAAAAACGCCTTTTGTAACCGCGCTTTATTAATTAAAAGCGCGTTTTGTAACCACGCTTTTAAGACTTCCTAATTTTCACGTGGGTCAGGCACACAAACGTTGATAGCGTGGTTATGAACCATGTTTTAGCCTATTTTGGGAATTCTTTCAAAACTAGGCTTAGTTTGGGAATTAAATTGATAATTTGGCTTATTTAGGGAAATGGCCCGACTAAACTCTCCCTACTCTATCTTTTATTTTAGGTTTTGGTTTTTCACATGTGGATGGCTGGAAGTTGTTATTTTAGTTTTTACCTAATTTAATAGGTTAAAATTTTTGTTTCTAGAAAGGTAGTTAAATTTTTTTTTATAATTGGATATGATATTTGTGAGAGAAAAAGTGAAATGATTATGGATTTGATGTGATAATTTGTTTTATTAACTATTTATTTTAGTTTATTTTGTTTTGTTGTGAATTTTAGTCTAAAAAGCTAAAAAATTGCAATTCATCGGTTTTGAGTGAATTGGCAAATTGAATAATATTATAACCAATTATCAAGTCTTTACATAATACATAATATATAATATTAATTTGTCTAATATTTTTCATATATATATATATATATATATATAACACAGACTAATTTTATATAATATTTTTCATATATATAACTTGTAATAAATTTCATATGTTAAATCTCTCTTATACTTATTTTTGTTTTGATATTGCATTACAAGTTAAAAATTATACATGTATTAACTATAGTGGAGTGAAACAATTATAAATTTTAAAGTTTAAACCGCAATTAGCGGATAGAGTAGTGCAAATTGATACGGATCAACGCAATTTCATCAAATTGGACGATATTTTGCACAATCCTAATTATGGACCTCCCATTTTGAGCTTTATTTGAACATACCTCCTTATTCTGTTCTTAATTTGCATTCAAGTCCACTGACAAAGTCCTCTCCTTTAAAAATAATAATCAGTGAGTGTGTTAGAGGAGGCAGATCAATTTTATTCTCACTCTCTTCATACCTTCACGACATGTTCATAATTCACAAAATCAAAAGTTTCAAGCTCACCGCTTACATAGCTCAGAGCTCAAAATTGGAACTAGGCCTTATTTGGAATGAATAGTTTTTAGTTAAAAACTCAGTATAAATTCTTAAATCATTCTCGTTATTTTTTTACGCTTCTTTTTTTCTTTTCTTTTTTTTGTAAAAATTTTAAAAAATTACTTGAAAAAAAATCAATTTTCAAACGAACATGACACTCAGTGGCAACCCTTCTCAATTTGGGTTAGACCATAATGGTGCAACTTAGGCATTACTCAACATGCAAAGACTAGTAGAAGTACCGAAACGACCAAGTTGTCCTCCCACTTTCGAGAAGTTGGCTTTTTCTTTTTTTCCTTCTTAAAGAAAAAATAGTGAGGCACTCGTTGAGTTGTCTGAGATTTTCTTTGATGACAAATCAGAAATGTCAAGCAGCTTCTACTCTCCCTAATTTGATACTTGAAATTTATCAATAGGTAAAAGGGGGAAGATAAAAGAAAAATGAGCTCACCATGCCTATGGAGTAGCTAATAGATGCCCACATTCCTCAAATGAAAAACACTAGAAACGATAATCATGGAGAGAGAGATCTCAATAATGTCTATTTAAGATGCACATTTTGGCAACAGCAATGCATAATGCTAGGGCAGAGCATTAGGCACAAACTTGTGAAAAACTGGTAGTATCGGCCAATTGCAAGCCCATTATAAACAAAATGTATAACTTAAAACTTCTTTTCTCCAAGTTGAAACAAGAACCCACTGTCAATTTTTTGATAGTACAACATCTCAGCTCAATATGATCCTTGTAATCCCTTGTTTCCTTAAAACAAGCCCCAGCAACAAACAACATAATTTAGAGGCAAGTCATTCCAATCAACCCTTCAGCGAGTACTTCTTCCCCGTAAAAGGCTGGAACTTAGGTTCATCTTTCTTCGAAGGCTCCTCTTGTTTAGGCTCTTTTGCAGTTCCTGCATGAATTTATCGAAACCTCATAAGGTTGAGATACATTAACATCAGCAGCAATACTACAATACCCAGAAAAAAAGACCCAGAAAAGAACCTAGAATTTAAAATCTGCGACCAAGATTCATTCAAGATGTGGGTGTGGCCCCACAACTTTAAATGTACACCTTAGATTTCAAATTCTGAGTAAGTTTCTGATAATTTTTTTGGGTGCAGTTGACTTTTCCTAAAATCAGCTTAACCAAAAGCAGTTTATTTAGGTGTCGTTTGGGAAGAACTCATTTGGACTCTTTTGGCTCTTTGAGCCACAAAAGGCAGAATAGGCTATTTGAGCCACAACAGACAAAACATCACATCTAACCCATAATCATTACTCTTCTCTCACAAAAAAAGTCAAAAAAGCCAAAAAACCCTTCCCAAACCAAGCTTTTGAGCGCATACTCAAATAGCCAAAAAAGCCAAAAAGCCAAAAAACTAACCCACTTCCCAAACGGAGGCTTAGATGAAATAGGTGTACCTTTTGGGGCTCTTTGGTGCGGTTTACATTTGAGCCAAACACGAGCTTCCCTTGAGTCTGACGAGTGGTACCTTGTGAACTAGACCCGGTAGAAGGCTGCCCACCACCACTGGCAACATCAGGTCGCTTATCTTTGGACCCAGAAGAAGAAGATACAGGTGGAGGCTCGTACTTCAAGGGTTTTCCATCTAAGCGTCTCCCTGCTCCAGTAAATGGGTTGAACTTTGGTTCAGTCTCAGCTGGAACCTCTTCACCTGCATGAGCATAGGCAGTTGATTTGCTTAAAAAAGGGTAAAAAATATATATATTAAAACAAAGAAAGAAATTGCTAGTAGAATCTGTGATTGAAGCATCGATCTTTGGTTTCAAAGTAGATGTGCAGGAGTAAAACCAAATATCAGGTATCTTCATCCAACCAATAAAACCTTATCTCCAAAGTAATTTGGATCCTCCAACACCTTATGCAAAGGCTAATCCACTCTCGCACTCCACTCCAGGAAAGTACAAGGAGGCAAAACAGATCCAGACACTTTTACAACAATATACGGTGTCCCCTAACATTCCCAATACAAGAGCCATGATCGGAATTATGCAAAAGCATGCATGAAGAGGGGTATGATAATCATTTCATCTTCCCAATCTAATAAGAATTCATCTATGAGTAAAGTTAAATAATCTATTGAACTGTGCCAATTTTTAACTTTATATTTATTATAGCAGAAGAATCAATAAGTGGTCAAACTTTATGGTTGAACAGATCTAAGCAGAGAGCACAAATTGAAGCGTCCAAATTGGAAGACTGAAATGCTAGAAGTGAAACGAATATAAAGCAATCATCTTCAATAACTTCCATTAAGTTATTTGAACCTCCCATTGCCAAGAAATGTAGACTTAGCTAGCTCATATTGTGTTTTCCACACAAAACATCAAAAATCATGAGGACAACTGCGAAAGTACAAGCACCACATGGTTTAGATGAAAATAATATGTACAGCTACACCTGCAAAAGATCTCTCAAAAATTGGGAGGAGTACTGAAAATGCAAGGAGGACCAATAGGGATCCTTAAGAGGCATGATATCTTGATTAAAAAGCAACAAATAAAAAAACATTAAGCATGTAAGAAGAGTAACCAAACCAAACTAAACCAAGCCTTAAATCCCATCAAATGGAGTTGGCTATATGAATCCTTCTTCTCCACTCGACTCTATCAAAGGCCACTTCATTAGTCAAATTAAAGAGATTCATATCTCTATGTATGAAAAGTATTTGTTAGAATTTAAACCTCACAAATTTGTCACAAGTGAATGCCACAAAGAAGAAAAATAATATAAGCATGTCTATAATGGGGGGAAAAAACTTAAATAAACGTAATATGTGAAATAAGGCAAAGCATTTGTACCTCCTGCTGGTGCCTTGCCTGAAGGAACAGTTGCAACAGGTTTTTCAGGTTCCTTGTAATCAAGGGGAGGTGCAAAGTCCACCTCACAGTCTGTCTCAATGATACTTATTGCATTAGATGGTTTTGTTTCAATAATATCTATGTAATATTTTTTATTATTGTATGCCACCATAATACTATCTCCTGTGGTTAGGCAAGAAAAATTCCTCAGAGTCGTCTCCAAGCTGCATGAGAGAAGAACAAATTATCCAAATTAGGAGATCCACATCTTGTTCTTGAATCAGATCTTTTAAGAGAACAGGGAACACCTGACCAGACCATAAAACAAAATAGAGTTTCTAAACCCCTCATGCAACTTCAAAATGTCATTGAAATTTCATAAGCAACATAATCACCAGGCTACCACCAGCTGTAGGTATCCACCCTTTTTTAGTCTCCATTATTGAGATCCTAAATAAGTGCACTTTTTATCTTTTTGGACTAAAAAATTGAGGTTAAAAATATGGATGTTTGGGTTAACTTTTTGACTTTTTATGGAAAAATGTGTAATAAAAAATTGTAAAAATTGATTTATAGGGAAAATTTGAATAGGTATCCACCCTTTTTTAGGGGTTGTTTGGGGTGTCCTAAATAAGTGCACTTTTTATCTTTTTGGACTAAAAAATTGAGGTTAAAAATATGGATGTTTGGGTTAACTTTTTGACTTTTTATGGAAAAATGTGTAATAAAAAATTGTAAAAATTGATTTATAGGGAAAATTTGAATTGGGAGTTGTGCAGCCGTAATTGTTGACTTTTGGTGAATAGTGTTAACTTTTTAACTTTTTGAGTAACTTTTTGACTTTTTGGCTTTTTTGTAAGTACCCAAACTTGGCCTTAGTCTCCATTATTGAGATGAATTTCTGGAAAATAAATTTTCTAGGAATTTTAGGTAGCGTTTGGTTTACTTTTCAAAACTCAACTATGTTTTTAAATCATGATTTGAATGCAACATGTTAACCAAACATATTTTTAAAATACAACTCAAAATTACTTTCAAAACTCCTCCCTTTTCTTTTCTTTTTTATTATTATTAATCAATTAATCAATCACTTTTTCTCTCTCATCTCTCCTCTCTCCTCCCACATTCTCTCACATTCTATACATCAATCAATCAAAAAAAATTACAAATCATCCCAAAACTATTTTCAAAACTCATAACCAAACAAATTTTCTCTTTTCAAATCATGATTCAAAAACTCAAAACTCAAAACATAACTCTACACTCAAATTATAATTCTAAAATTAAACCAAACGGACCCTTAGATTTCTATTTATTTGGTCTAAGAAGAAATCAATTTCTCAAGAAAATTTCCTCCATCTCATTTTGGCCCAAAGTTGTTTTCCACAAGTGAAAAACACAAACTGATTAATCTTGTTAATTAGCATGTTCACAATTCAAAAATCATTCATTACTTTTAAACTAACTTGCTAACCGACTAGTCATTTTTTAATTCTCATATTGTTGCTGCTACAAATAGTAATGAATTATGATGTATTTTATCATACTGATTTGATAATACTCATCAGCAACTAAAATTATGGGAATTAATTGTGGATATGACCCTATTCAGCATGCCAACTCTAATAGAAATGCTAAAGACCCACAAATTTAGATGCACAAATTCACCCACAATGATGTAGCAAGGGAGTTGGGCCTTATATGTTTGTGTAACAAACCAAAACTTGACACCCACCATGTCACGTCACTGGAGGACAAATTGAGGGAGTTTTTTTAGAGGTTTCAAACATTTTTCTATAGTATATGGTGAAGTAACTAATTAATAAACGGATTGATTCTATGTTGGTATAATGATCAAGAGTTAGAATCAACTCAAGATGAATTAAAAAATGTTGAAAACAAAGAACTTATAAATATAACAAAACCACTACAAATGCTTATTAAATAAGGAAACCAAATAATTTGCCAATAGAACAAAACTGATTAGTGGACATTATATGTTCAATTGATTGAGTCCAGACTCATCGGTAATCATATTCTAAATATGCTTTTGTTTTTTAAAAAAAGGAGTCGCACCCAATGGACAAGGTTCCCGTTTACAACAAAATTTGGGAGACGTAGTAGGTAGGCAACCTTATTCCCACTTTTTTTGTGGAAAGACTGATCCTCGTTCAATGTCTTTACTTCTCTTCCTAAGTAATGAGGAAGGACCACTGAAAATTAATAATCCTTCATTGTTGTATTCACACTTACAGCCATTTTTCATCACTGCAAGTTCTTCTCCAAATGCAAATAATTCACTCTACATTCATGCCCCCATAGAGCAAGAGGCTTACTGTCATGCATCAACTTTAGCCATGTTGACAAACAATACAATAGTGAGGGGAAAAATACTAAGTAGAGTTGTGTTCTCTTGTTGATCAAGACAGAAATTAAATGGTCAATTTTCCCTGGGTGCAGGGTACTTAAACTACCCACACCACAAAGAAACATCACTATAAAGAGGACAATCAGCCTTTCCATCCTGAACTACACACTTGCCTTCCCTATAAGGCTAACAGTAACTTTCAAAAATAAATTAAAATGAAATAATGGCAGCAGAAGTCAGCAGGCAGTTATTGAAAACAGAAGTGAAATATCATGACATGAAAAACCGCTAACATGTAGAAAAATCATCATACATTGCCAAAGTTACAGAATATCATTCTACCTCCAAAACTAAAACCTAAACATAAGGATCATGAACTCACATGGCCTTAGGATTGGAAATATCCAAGAAGTCTTTTGTATGGGGTTGCAGTCTAACATATGTCCCTTTTGGGAGAGTCACATTTTTCACTCGCACTATGTCTCCTTCTTGTAACAGCAGGTTCTCCATCATCTACAATGAAGCAATTCAGTGTGCATCAATGAAAAATAAATGCCTAAAGAGTCTCCTTTACAGTTATATTGGCCAACAAAATCACACCAAAATTACAAAGCTAGTATAAAAAAAGACTATAGGATGCCTACCCAGTAAGGCATGTATATCATGCCTTCTTCTGCAATGAACTCCAGAACCCCACAATGAGACATGCGCTCGGTAGCAGCATTGTGAAGTTCAAACAACATAGGATAATCAATATGAAGAGATGCTGCAGGATTAAGTCTTAATATTAGCATATTAGCATTTTAAATGATAACTTGGGGGGAAATTTAATTAACAATAGTGGATAGTAAGAATATTTCAAATAAATCAACTAACCAAGGCGGTCCAGGGCTGAGGGAGGCATTATAACTGAAACAACATAATGTGAAACAAAAGAAAATTAAGACATTTACTTACAAGGCCGCAAAGACACACATTTGTTTAAACTGGTAAGAGTTTCATAACTTACTTTTATCACCATTTTCAATCTGTGGCTGCAGGATTGAAAAGAAACAAAGAAATTAGAGACAACCATAGTAGAGTTACAAAAAATTTAGTAGCCAAATGTTTGATTTTCTTTTTGCTACAAAACTTTTAGTAGCCAAAGGTTTTTTTTTTTTTTCCCCTTTTTTTTTTTTTTTTTTTTGTGTGTGGAATTAATGGGGGAAAAAAAAAGTTTTTTTTTTTTTTTTTTTTAATCTCGGTGCTATTGTAGCAAATTGCTAACAAAACTGAACTGATACATGATAAAGCAAGCCTTCCAACCTTATCAATAAAAGATGCAGGGTAACATCGATATGTTTGCTCAAATGACGTTCCATGATATCCATATCCGTCAAAAAACTGCAACATTGAAACACTATAGTTTATAACAAAGATAAAGATCATAACTGAAATAATAGTTTATAATATGAAACACTAGTATTAAATAATCTGCATCTTTTATAAACAATCCCCACCAAATAAGTGAATTAAGACAAAGATAATGATAAAAACAACAACAGTTATGCTTACTATAATAGGATAATCTGCAACTTTTCAGAAGTGACATTAAACGACATAGTCAACAAGAAATGATAATGAATCAAGGGGGAAAAGGCATAGTAATTTCATTTTCAGTATTAGGAATTGTTTGAGATGATCTAAATAAGTGCACTTTTTGACTTTTTACGAAAAAAAGTGAAATACGAGTTGTGTTTGAAGTGATGTAGTAGAGAGATGATGTGATTTAAATAAGATGATGTGAATTAGGCCTCGTTTGGGAACCCTCCTTTTTAGCCAAAAAGTCAAAAAATTAAATTAGCCAAAAAGCCGACAACCCATACCAAAAAGTCAAAGATTCTCTTTTCTCTCAACTTTTTGCACATCTTTTCGTAAAAAGCCAAAAGTCATCCCAAACATACTAATTTTTTTTAGCTCATATTTTAACCAAATAGCCAAAAAGTTACTAAATTAGCCTGTTCCCAAACGAGGCCTTAAATAGGATAGTGACTTTTTGACGTTTTGGCTTTTTTAGATTATGCCAAACTAGGCCTGAAATTCAATATACAGTTGAAAAAGGCAATAAGTCATTCCTTAAATCGCACAGGGAACAAATACAATTGAAATTCATTCATTCATTCCTAAATTGCTATGATTGAACAAATGGAATGTACCCTACCTCTTATGATACTACAGTCAGTTCTAGCCAGCCATGAAAAGATTATCCCAATGACTTGCCTAAATAAAAAAATTCTTTTTCCAAGATTTTATAAAATGTTTTTGTTAACATAAGTAAAAGAACTCAGATGGCATGTGCTTAGACCACCTCTAATGGTTACTCAAACTTATCATCAAATTTGAATTTGATGAAAAATGGTGCTTTTTTTTAGCTCCAACGGTTTCATCAAATCGGTATCAAATCGAGAATATCAAAAATATTTCACCAAATTGAAGACGTCCGGCCGGATGTCCCCCGGTTATCTGCGTAGTTGAAAAATTCCCACAACAAAGCATACTCTCGGATGGCCGGGATGATGTCCTCCCAGACAACCTATGTGTCTACAAGCTAGGTTCCAGATATAGCGTTGTTTGCTAGGTTTATTTACATAGTTTAATCTATTTATACATATCTTTTTGAGGGAAATAATTAATGCAGGCAAACAATAATGGAAAATAATTAATGAGGTAAAAACAAATAACAAAGGAATTGAGCGAAACAAAAATGGAGGGAAAAAGAATTTTCAGAATCGATGGATTACACTTGCTGGTTGATTGCCCGGTCTTCCGCCCGGTTGTCCTCCCGGTCAACCAGTGTTGATAACAGCCAAAAATGCTCCGTTTTACTCAAATTTGGTGAAATAAATAATACACCGTTGGATATGCTCTTACAACTTACAAAATTATTCAAACAACAAATATCTTTAAGGTCCATGAGAGACTATCAGGCTAACTTAGGTATAGTATCATTTATGTAGCAAAACAGTTGAAATACATCTAGTCATGCAAAATATCAAAATTTTCCTCAAAAAAATACAAAATTTATATACCGATCTGACGGCATTAAACGAAAAAAAGGCAAGTTTCTCACTTTGGCGAGTAAAAATCGTTCTTCATTAAGGATCAGGATTATCTGTCAATGATCTTGTCATGCAAAATCCAATGGTACATGTTTAAAGATTAAGCAAAACTACGCCGTTTTAGGATGCATAATTTTTTAAAAATAATAAATAAAAAATTCGCAATACTTTAATGTCATTTCACTTCACTTCTAAACTTAAACCATAGGATTATGTACTTTGTTCATGTGAATTGCTGTGGTGAAAAGCACAACAAGATCATCATAGTAAAAGAATTCCAAAGAATCCTTATCGATAAAATTTTACCTGTAAACTTCACATCACCTCTCACATAAAAAAGCCAAAAAAACTAGAAAAGCCAAAAAAAAAAAAAAAAACCAACTTTTAACCAACTTCCCAAATCACCCCGACGATCATTGTAGGAAAAGAATTGCATAGAATGCTTATCCCTAAATTTATACCTAAAAAATGCACAATATTTTTTAATATCATTTTACTTCACTTCAAAACTTAAACCATTGGATTATGTACTTGCTGTGGTAAAAAGCAAGATCATTGTAGGAAAAGAATCGCGGAGAATCTTAATCCCTAAATTTTACCCTCAAGCTACTAACAAGTACTTCAAAAATTAAAACCAAAAAATTCATCAGAGAAACCAATCACACGCTCTTGAACCCAACGAACCCGTTAATCATCAAATCACAAAAGACCACATTTTTTTTTATAAAAAATAAAAATCATAAAAACCATAATTACAGAACATACCATATTTACTATCTCTGGATTGTCTCAGCACGTAATCAACTGTCACAACTCCCTATTTGAAAAAGAAAACCCTTAATTAAATTGAAAAAAAATCACCGTAGCAAATAGTTGTATATACATGAGGTGAAATGAAATGCTTAAGATCGATACATTTTCTGATCGAAAATCAGATACAGATCGATAAATGAGAGAGAGAGAGAGAGAGAGAGAGAGAGAGAGTTCACAAAGTGAAGTTAAACTATAATGGAGAGAGAGAATGAAAATAAAATTGATTAGAAAGCTCTGATCTTGACGAAGATTTTGAGAACAAACCTTCAAAGAGTCCAAGGAATGAATTTGCAGAGACTGTTCACCGAAGCTTGTACACGACGAAACTGAACCTTTGGAGAGAGAGAGGGAGAGAGCAGAGAGAGAATGAATGATAATGGGGAGAAGAATACGTTAAGATGCGCTGCGGTGCGTTGTGTGCACGCCATGTCGCTGACTGACACGTATGTGTAGAGTGGTCCAGCAACTTTGGGCTTTTACAAAAAAAGGCCCCCATTATGATTTTAATTGGATCCAACCCAATAGCTAATAATACAAAGTTAACCCTGGGCTTAATCCAAGTCGTTGAGTATAAATTTTAAATTTTATATTATTTACAAATTATTAGAAAATAAAAAAATAAGAAAAGTATATAATTTTTGTTTACCACTTAAATTCAAATATTTTTTCAAACTGTTTTTTGGTTTTCAAACTCAAAGATTATTTTTGAGTTTTTGAGTTTTGTGTGTGGATAGTAAATTTTTTAAAAAATACTATTATTAGCACCCCATCAATTATTTTGGATCCTCTATTTGTTATTTTTTTTATTACAATAATAACTTCAAATAAAATTACTAAGAAGGACATCAATAATTTTGGGATACCCATATCACAATTAAGCTCACACACCTACTACATCATGAGTTAGAGTTTATGAGAGCACCTACTTCCATCACTAAGAATGGGAACGGGCCGGGCCAGGCTAGGGCCGGGGATCACACTCCCCATCCTCAATCCCCAATAGTGAAAATTCCTTTATCATCGACCCCGATCCTCGACGAGAAACTTATCACCCTTCCCGTCCCCGTCCCTGTCTCCTAATGGGAATGGGGTTTTCCCAACCTCGAAAATTTCCCGGTCAAAAAAAAAAAAACAATAATACATTAGATCAACAAAATCATCAACAATAGATCAACTTAACAAACTCATAAACAATAAATCAACAACATCATACATCAACAACAGATTATCAATAACTTACACAACAAATCAACAAAATCATTAACAACATCATACATAATAGATCCAAAAAAAAGAAATCAGAGAGCTGGTAAGATTTGAAAAGTACAACTCAAAAAGAGAAATCAGAGAGATGGTGTTGGGGCCACTAGCTCGATGATTAGAGACAGCGACGTTGACGGCAACGAAGGGAAAGGCATCGCAATTGCCCTGATATTCTTAAGGAGGGAGATGCGCAGTGATGTGAGGAGGGAGAGGAGGATAACGGAAGAGCCGCCGTCGACGCCGTAAGGAGCACCTACAGCACACAGAGAGAGAAGGAGAGAGGCTGAGAGAAAAGAAGTAAGTGTGACTGGAAAAGTGGCAGACTTAAATAACCCTATATATATATATAGGGATTATTCGATGCCGGGACAAGGCAGGGCTGGGGGAACCTATCTCCGTCCCAGGCCTGAAAACCGTTAGGGATTCAATTTTTAATACCATCCCCAGCCCTATGGGAGGTAATTTTCGAAAAAAAAAACCCATTCAAATCGAGGTCGGAGGTCATATCCCCTTTAGCCCGGGTTCAAATTGCCATTTCTTCATCACCACATATCCATCTTCTCCAAATCTCACCTTCAAAACTTACCCACCCTTAAAATCTTGAAAACCATTTGGCGGTAATATTCCGGTAGTAATGATGGTAACCATTTGATTACCTACACTTCTCTTACAATGACAATGAGTGGAAGTTTCTTCAGCAATCACAACTCCATGAGACGAGAGGAATACAACAATAAAAGTTCTGAAGAGATTCATAGTTTTGATGGTATTCTTAGTTTAGAGGAGATTAGCATTGTAAATGTAAGTTTCTTAAAAAAAATGACAAAAATAATAAAAATTGTTCGTTATTTTTTCGGGACTGAACTCCCGAACATATAAACAAAATTCAAGAACACAAACCTGAGTATTGTTCATTTGTTCGGGAATAGGTAATCGAACATTTCTTATTTGTTTAGGAACAGATAACCGAAACTTGTGAAGATCGCAGAATCTATAGAAGGAAATTTTGAATTAACAACAAAAAGACCCAACATTTTTTCTCTTAGGTTATTAATAAGTATGTGGAGATGAAGTAATAATCACTTTTGTGGGTTTTGTTAGGATTTTGGGGAGAGAGGCCTTTTGGGGATTTAGGGGGTATGCATTCAATTAAATTGGTGTAATATTTTCACAAAGATAATTTTGGTATTATTTGGAAGGAGAATTTTTTTTTTAGGTTTTTTCCAAAATAATTAATTGGATGTTAATAGCAATACTCTTTTAAAAATATATTATGATTATTTTTTTTTTACTTTTTAAATGCACCAAATTTATATCACCTAAAAATTTAAATATTTGTGAAAATTGTTGAAAAAAAATCACTAAAAACAAAAGCAAGTAAAATAAAAAAAAAAAATCAAAAATAACTTTTTCCAACTAAACCAAACAATGACTGTGGAGGACCTAAGAGTTCATTTGGAATGTGAGTTGGTTTTTTAATATTTTTAGTTTGAGGTTAAAAAGTCTCATTTGAGATAGATTTTTTTGATTTTTATAAGAAAAAAAATAAAATGATTATGATTTAGATGTAATATTTTATTTTATTAACTTTTTAATTTATTTTATATTTTTATAATTATTTTAGCCAAAAAAAAATCTTCCACTTTTTTATGCCAAATGATAGTAAGTTAGGCGAGCCTAAAACCCGTTTGTTTGACCCATGTTTTTTTGGGGACGACCTTGACTTTAGTTTGGGCCGATTCAGCTCCATCAAAAAAAAAAATTAAGCCCAAATTAATTTTTCTTTTCTTTTCTCGTTTTAATAGGTCAACATCTTAACACAATTTTTACGGAATATACCGGAGATGGAGCAGAAAGTAGACGCAACAAGACCATTAAAATATGAATAAAGATTGTACGTCTAATTTTATAATTTTAAAGAGATTTTTAATGATGTAATAATGAGTGAGATCTATATATGATGTGATATGTATGTTTATATTTTTATTTTTTATTTTTTTTTCTTACCACATCATTAAAACTCTCTTTAAAATTTTAAAATTAAAATTCTTTTTAAAACTCCAAAATTAAAACTCTTTATCGTTGTTGTTAAAATATTTTCAAGTCAAACAAATGGTTGAAGTATTATTTTGGAAAGAAAGAAAAAAGCTTGTTTTTTACTTGATTTCAAAAGGAGTTTTTTTTAAGGTCCCTGATATTAAGGTTGTATAGCATAAAGGACATTTAATATTTTCATAATGTCTAAGGTCCCTTAACAATATTTTCATAATGTCTAAGGTCCCTCAATCTTGATCCAGAGAAATTTCAGTCCAGAGAAAATTGGCCCAGAGAAATTTCAGACCAAATTTCTCTGGAAAGTCTAATTATTCTCAGAATTTCTCTGACCCAATTCTTCCTAGAATTTCTCAGCATTTCTCTAATGCATTGGTTGAGTACAGAGAATTTTTGAATTTCTCTGGTCCAATTCTTCTTGGATTTTTTTGGCCCAATCCTTCCTAGAATTTCTCTGATGCATTGACTGACTGGAGGAGTGGTTGATGGAGAAAATTCAATCCAGAAAATTTCTCTCTAGAAAAATTTCAGAAAATTTCTCTGGATTTCAAAATTTCTATCTAGGGAAATTCTGAATTTCTCTGGATTCTCTATCTGTGTTTTAACCAAATTTCTCTGAATTTCAGAATTTCTCTCCAGAGAAATTCTTATACCAGAGAAATTCTTATACCAAGGCTTCTAGATCTCAACAGTTACATCCAAGGCTTTAACTTACATCTGAAGAAATGGTCTTTAACTTACATGACTGATAACTTACATTCTCTGTAGTATCATGACTGGATTTCTCTCCAGATGGTTTTTAACTTACATCCAAGGTTTCTAGATCTCAACAGTTGAACCAAAAGGTACAAAGAAGAAAAAAAGTATCTAAGATCAAAGCTCTGCCATAAATATATATATGTATATAATAGAAATTTCGAATAAACAACAACAAAGAGAGAGAGAGAGAGACCTGGTAAGAGATAGTGTAACAGTGGAAAGAGAAGTGAGATCAAGATCGGAAGGAGGAGACTGACACCGGCGGTGGCGATCTATCTTCTTGAGTAGATTTTAGAGCTTCATCGATGCAAACTTTCATCTGCAGAGCTCCAAACTAGGTTGGAGGAAGATAAAGAGGCAACTTTGTTTATAAACCACTCAGAAACCTCTCGCCAATGAAGCCGACTCCGTTTCCCGGGGCTACGAAAATGTCACTACTTTGATTGACTTCTTCCAAACAGGCGGTAGGTGTGATATAAGGGTACGAGGTGAGGGACCTTAGACTACAAAAGAATATATTATGGACCTAATCCATTACTAAAAGTTGGATAGGGACCTTAGACCGATTTTCCCATTTTAAAAAGCCAAAAGTCAATTGTTTGAGTAAAAAAACATTTGAGAAGTTGGAAATAAGCCAACAAGTAAAATTACTAAAATACCTTTGTATGTGTGAATAAGCCAAAATAACGTAAAATTGCATGAGGATAATATGGTTAATTTATAATTTTGCAAGTGATGTGACTATATTAAAATAATTTTTTTTGTAAAAAACAAAACAGCACAACGGTTTATTCCCATCTTCCCAAATGATTTTGTGAATAAGTCAAAAATTAAGAAAATAAGCAAAAAAAAAACTGCTTATTTTGATCTTCTCAAAGCAGCGCCTTTGTTTTTTCCCTACAAACAAAAGTGGGGTATTTGGGAAATTGCTATTTTAGTAGATTATTTTAATTTTTGACTATTTTAGTTGGCTAATTTTTTTGTGTTTGAAAAGATAGTTAGATTTTTTTGTAGTTGGATGTGATGTTTGTGAGAGAAAAAATAAAATAATTATAGATTTAATGTGACATTTGTTAGAAATGGTTTTGGAAAAAATTAGATTTTCCTCAACTTTGGTCTATTTTTTAGGTGGGACCCATGCGTTAAAGTTGGCAGGTCTAAGTGGTAACGTGTTCTATGCCGCATTGTGATTCACGTAATATATTTGATTGCTCAAAACCATTATTGGGTGAATGAGAAATTGAAGCCAAAGTGAGCTCCATGGAAATGAAATTTTGATGAAAATTCCTTAAAGGTTTGAATTAAAGGCTTGTCCCACATTGGTTCGGTGGGCAAAC